TATGTTTTAGAATAATATCTTTAGAATGCTTTGCAAGAGATATTTTGTTTCATATCAAGAGCTCATAATGGAGATATTAAATCAATCATTAAGCAATAAAGTTAAGGATATGATATAATTTCTATATATATATAAATTTAATTAAATAAAATAAAATTCATATCAAAAGATAGAATGAAAAATCCACAATATATTTTAAATTTTTTTGTAAATTTTGGAATTTATAATTCCTACCAAATTATTACTTCCAATTTTGATTAATATAACTGCTTAATTATTTTTATTTGCTATAAATTTCACAAATTTAGAAAATTTTATTAATTTCTTTAAAAAATTAATAAATTTTTGTAAATTCAAAAAAAAAATTTATTTTTACATTAAAAATAGCTTATTTCACATTTTTCGGTAAAGTTAATAAATTTGATTAATTATATATTTAATATTTAGGTCCTATCCTTAATAAAATCAACTTTTTATCACAACTTCAAAATATGAGACTCGTTTTCTCATGCTGTAGCTTTTCTATTCTTATAATTTGGTAGATAAAAATTAGTCATATAGACTGGTCGCATCTTAAAAAATGCGATACCAAAATTATATGAATTAGAAATTGAAAACGATATATGTAATTAATTTCTTACCCCTTAAATAGTGTTAAACGGTTTGTGTATATTTTATCCCGCAAAATATTGCCTAGGTCGCGAAATTTTGTTAATAGATGTTCAAACCTTTGTGATCTATGAGAAAAGTATTAAAACTTGTTTAATATTTTTCTGTATAAAATATTGAGTTAGCCATTTCTCAAAATCGGCTTAAAACGAGCCATTTAGTTGAGTGATTTTAGAAATAATACTAAGTGTAATTGAGCATTACAATTGAAAATATAAAATATTAAATGCCGATCCTATACTAATTATACCATCTCGCTTTTTGTGAAAATTGTATTAATAAATGAAATGTGTTTACAATGTTGTTATTCGTAAATTTTTTCACGAATTGTTTTAAAATAGAAAAAGAAATTTCTGAGATTATTTTATAGAATTAGAATTAAGTAGGGAAATTTATCAATTTGAAAGAAATAAGGGCAAATTTTTGCCTAGATATCCATATAAAAGCATTAAAACAAAAATTCCACCTAATCATATTTTTTATGGGGAAGGGTAGTACAACCCCCCCCCCCCCCCCACCCTTCGTCTACACTCTATATTGCATATATAGACTAGGAAAACATATGAAAACATATGAAAATACACTAAAATTCTTGATTTAAAAATAATATGCAAGAACTACTTTTTACAATTTTATAATAATTAAAAATGATGTTATGAAATATATATTTTTCTCCATTATTAAAATAACAAAGTTCTCAATGATAGTGTTGGGATGAAGACATTATCTTTAACAAACGGAGTCGTCCCAACGACGAACCCAGTGACACTAACGACGGTTACCAATGGATTTAAAATTAAAAACACTGTACAATACTTTATAGTTTTCAGTTTCAATGCGGTTCAATTAGTTCGTACAGTCAACGTAAATAACCTAATTTTTAATTTATATCTTCAAAGAAAATAAGCTAGTATTAGAAGATTATGTCCAAAATCCTTGAAAATATTCTAAAAGTTTTAAAACTTTTAGAAGTTCTAAAATTTTAATAAAATCATATAAATTTTTTTTTAAATTTTCTAGTAATATATTTTGGACATATTTTTATGTTTATATAGCTTATTTCTTCTTTTTCGATAAAGTTTCAAAAGTTTACGAATCAAATTTTTTATATATTTTGAATATAGCCTAAATTTTTTTTTATTAACATCTCCAAGAATGGAAAATAAACGTATTTTTAGAGTGAACCTTAAAGAAGGTTAGAATAAATACGTTTGAGATGTTCTGAATATATAAAAAATAGAAAGCCATTCAAAGAGGTGGGAGAAGGGGGGGGGAGTCCTATGGAAAATTTACTATTATTTGAAGCTAATAAAAAAAATCCCTCTTTAATAAAATTTATGGTCAAAGCCACCCAAAATTCCTTATACCCTTTGATAATCCCATGTTTAGCTTGGATTGAGAGACATAAAGGTATAAAAATAAGATTATATAGAATTTGATAAAAGTCTTATAGTATATATCTATATATAACAAGGCTTAGAGAGAGGTCAAGAGGAGCCTGATAAAATAGAAAGATGAAGTACAATTTAAAAGCACGAAGGAAGGCAAAACTATTATATATCGATAACCAAGGTAAAGTTGATAGATATAATAAATTAAAAATGATAAATTTTGGAATGTGACAATGTCAAGGAAATGTTGAAACTAAAATTAGCATGAGGTAAGCACTACAAAAAGCTATTCATTGAGAATTCGGAATAAATTATATCAAAAATGATTGCTTCACATATTGTTATTTAAAGTGAAATACAAAATCAATTTAGCACGTCGTTTAATAGCAAATTTGAATTTTACTAATGCTGCCTTATGAAATAGAGGGAATGTTGACCAATAAGAGTTCTAACTAAAAAGGTAAATTTTTAGAAAGATGAGGCTATGGGGTCAAATACCATAGTTTACTAAAGGTTTAAAATTCGGATCAATATAAAAGCTTTGGTAAGATTGTTGAAGAAAATATTCAATTCTGGCAGGATAAGGAAGAAAATTAGTGTTGTTTAACGGCTCGATTTGAGCTGATTTTTTAAAAAGGGTTAACTCAATATTTTAGCCAAAAAATAGAGCCTCGAGATTTTGTTAGTAGATGTTCAAACCTTTGTGCCATATATGAACAAAATTTTTAGGCATGCATAATATTTCTGTATAAATTATAGTTCCAGGTTTTAAAAAATTGACTCAAATCCGTTTAACAACACTAAAAAAATGAAGGATAGATATCTTCCCTCTATCTAAAAAATAATAAATAAATTGAGAATTGTTCTAATTTGCTCGGATGTTATGATCAAGGCCTTATAATAATGGCAAGATAAAAAAAAACAATATAAAAACATTAAGGTTTCTGACCAGCAACGAGAATCAATTTGGTTTAATGCCAGGCAAATTATGTTGATTCCCACAAAATCTTGACCAAAATAACGCGTACTTCTGTATGAACAAAATTTTACGTTAGAATATTCCCAAAGTGACTATTTAAAAGTTAAAACTAATCAAAACCCATACTTCATAATAGGTAAACATTATAATTCACAAAGCACATTTTGCAAGCATTAGAATAGGCAGTAGCTAACTAAAATATAAATGATTCAAATATAACATAGATATAGACTATGTATATTCACTTAATGTATCTCCAAGATTTCACTGAGCCATAGTAACCCGCCCCCCCCACCACCTTTACCCTATTTAAGACTGATTATACGAAACAGATATTCATCTATTTATTTTTATGTAGCTATCATACTTTGTAAATTTTATAAATATTCTAAAATAAATTTTTCTCTAACTTGATTATTCTTCAATTTATAAAATATTGACATACCAATTCCTTTTTGGTGAACATTTATGACGTTGGCTTAAATATAATATATAAAATCTATATTTACCATGATATTTACTGATATCCGAGGGAGACCCTGCGAACCTTATGTGACAACTTTTTTAAAGAGAATTGCTTGTCAATTCATTCATTCATTAATATAATTTTATTTTTTTCTCTTTAAAAGATAACTGCAACTGGAGGAAAAGTATTTTCCATTTCTCTAATGTTTACTTGAAATCACAACATACGCAAAACAAAAATGCCTTAGCCAAAAAAATGAAGAATTCAATAAATTTATCATTTCTTTTAATCAAAAATTGATTATTTGTATATTAAATTTAAAATTATAAATATTGATTATTATTTTTGTATTATTTATAAAGATTACTTTAAAAATATTCTCTTTTCATTTATTTTAAATTTTACAAGCTTGAAATATTTGTGCACTACGATATTTGTATTAGGTAATATATATTATATTCTTAGCTATATAAAATTTAACATTTTTAATCTAAGTGAATAATGTGGTTCCGGAAATCATTAACACTCTATGTATAGGCAGATGGGGTAAAATGGCTAACTTCTGTAACTTTTCATCTTTTGGGCCAATTGTTTCAAAATTTGTTTAAAGAAACATTTCTATGTATATTGTCTATCAAATGTCCATTTAAAAGTATCAAAAACAATTTTTTACCAACTTTTTTAGTTGGTTAATAAGCAAAAGTAATCTTTTAAATTTTATATAATTAATAGGATATATAGCTCAATATCTAAAAGACCAAATAAAATCCGGGGAAAGAGGGGGGTGGGGAAATTAGCTTTAGAATAATTGCCATAACCATATATGCTAATTTATTACTAGTGGGAAAATATGGAAATGGGTAAAATGGCAAATTTGTGAAGCAAAAATTTCCCAGGGGAATCACTCGATAAAATATTTTAAGTGTTTTCTGTCTGTGACATACCATTAAACCCTCATATTAATCAAAAATACTTAAATAGAAATTTTCGATGGCGTGACCGATTGAAAACTCGAAAATTTGGGATGAATAACTCAAAATATTTTTCGTAACCCTCCTATGTATATTTTATATTTAAAAATAGTTGGTAGATTTTATATAATAAATTCGGATAAATAAAACAAGAAATAAAATCCTGAAAAGTAATATTATTAAATCTTAATTAAATTTATGAGCGAATGCTCAACTTATAAGTTTGACTCCACCAGAGATAGAAATTATCAGAATAATTTTAGTTTATCGTCACCTTTTAGCTAGATAAAGCTTCCTTGATTAAAACACAAAACGACCACACCAATAAAGCATGATCTAAAAATTTCCTATTTTATTTGGACAGGAAAATTTTCATTCCTTATTTTTATTGGATACCCCACGGATGTTATATTGGTCACTTGATAAACAAAAAGCAAAATGGTTTAAAAATGTGTTACAATTTTGTAGCCATCACAAAAGCTTTGGCATAATATTTAACTTATATATGCATAAAATCTACTATCTTTTAATATTGTCTTATTAGAATTTGTTTAAAATTAATCTTGAGAACATATTTTCGATATTTCATGGGATTTCGGAGCTTCTACCCATATTTCGTTAGGTCTATTCAATAACTTCGATTGACTAAATAGTTTTAATAATTAATAATACAATAAAAGATTCATTGTTGATTTTATAACAAATAGAAGTTAAGAATCCAAACAAAAAGATTAGAGAAAAATTATTAATTTAAAAAAATATATAATAGAGGAAAAATAGAAAAAAATCCTTCATTTTATCAAAAATAACTTGTCATAACCGGCTACGTAATATTCCGAGGGTTGATCAATTCCGTTCTCTTGTAAGAAGGCGTTCAAAACTTCGAAATTATTATGATTATAATACCATGACCATAAGGATCCCACATAGTAATACACGTAAAATGTTTTAGACTCTAATTTTGCAATTTTAACCTTTTAAATCATTTTTATTTATACTTTTTTTTTATTTGTAAAAAAAATAATAAAAATCATTTTGAAATAAATGCACTGTAATATTTCCCTACTGGCGCTTGAATCAATTTAAAGGAAAAAATAATTTCTATATAATTTCCTATCAACTTTTCAGAAAAAATCCCTCCCCCCCCCCCATTCTCTACAATTCTACTCATGCCTTCCTCAAACGTATTAGACTTATGATTGTATTAACTCGGGCAACAATAACTAGCGAAAAGACTATGAATACTATGAATCCAAGGCTAAAAATGATGTTGATCTGGAGAATTTTATGAATATTTTACAAAGTTTATGTATATTCTACTAGTTTAAAAGTAGAGTGATTTATAGTTCAGATAAATAAATATTTAAAAAATAATAATATGATTCCTAGGGAAAAATTAATTAACTTCGTGGTTAGAAGGAGTAGGCGCATGTTTAGGCAAATAGAGTAACACTCTGTATGATTTTTTCGCAAACCAATTATTATACGGTAATCTTTCCCGGACTAAAACCGGAAGGCTCATGGGGATTGTTAAATCTTAAATAAAATTTGATTAAGTATCAATAAAAACGAAAAAGATTCACAACTATTTTGTTTATTTACCAGCCATGGAGAAATGCAGGGATGCGAAAGCAAAATTTTTGCCCGGGTTCGGTTCGGGGTCGGTTCAGGGAAATATTTTTGCACCCGGGTTTGGTTCCGGGTTCAGCTCGGGTTTAAGAATTTTTGAATTGACAAAAAAAAATTCTATATTTAAATCATATACTAATAAATAAAAAGCATTTTGACCGCTGAAAAGTAATTGAGGATCAAAATTAAATCTAAATGGACATACTTTATTATGATTTCAATTTGCTCTATTATATTAAAATTCTGTGTCTGTGATATAATTCTAAAATAAAAATATTTATTTTTCGATACTATATTAGTATTTATATAATTGTTAAATAATATTTAATAAAATATCTTTGTTAATAAAATTGCTATTGCTAATATAAAAAAATACCCATTTCTAAAAAGTGTTCAAAGTATAAATACCTTCCTTTTTTAAATTGTAAGTATTCACTTATATTTCTTTTAACATCTTTATATAATTTATATTCCAATTAGAGATCTGAAAAATAGGCCCGGACCGTATCCAGCCCGGTCCGAACGGGCTTCGGTCCAGGCCAAGCTTAAAAAATATGTCCGATGCAGATCACTAATTCCAATGCTTACTTTTGATGTTTGTATTCGAATATATTTTCTTGGAAATATGCCCTTCCCTGAGTGTCTTACATCAACATCTGATAAAAAAAATTTTATCAGAAAATGGCCTGGCTTTACTAAAATGTCTCGCATCAAACCCTAATTAAAATTCAATGGAAAATGTCTGCTTATATAAAAAAAAATACATAGGAAATAAACAAATGTAATTTGATGAATGTGATCAAGTATTTATGAAAATTTTTTCAAATTTAAAAAAAAAGGTATAAGTATTGTATATCAATATTGGTTCATTTCTCTATATTTATTCTCATTTATACTTCTCATAATCTTAAAGTTATATATTTAATTAATTTAGATAAAAAAAATATTTTGAAAGCTTTACAATGTTGGTTAAACTTGGAGCAAATTTTAGTAAATTATTAATAATTATTTATAAGAATATGTTATTATAAATTGAAATAAAAGCTGCAAATATAATCAAAGGTGTAAAGTTATATCTGAATAATAAAAATACGAGTGTTTCAAAATCCATCTAAAATAATAAAGGTAGTCACTAACATTAGTGATCATCGGGCCTAATTTTTCAAGCCCGGCCCGGGCTGAAATTTTTTTAAAAAAAATTTACCGACCCAGCCCGGCACGAATTTATTTAAATATAGAAATTAATCTTCATAATCACTCAAAATAAAAGGCATATGTTATATGTAGTTTAGTTTCAATAAATAAAATTAAATATTTTTATTTTACATAAAAAATTCAATAAAAAATTGTAAAAAATTAGTTGTTTTTAGTCCGGTGTTCTAATGTGATAAGGTTGTATACTAGAGTTAACTCCTTAATATTGAGGCAAATAAATTTGATACAATTTTTGCCCTTTATATATTTTAAAATTTTCTAAAGGGCACGCTAAATATTTCCTCCAGCGGCACGGTGTACCCTCCCCACTACACCACTGAAGGAAATTGAGTATGAGTATTGTTTACGAAATAAATAAATTTAGAGTTGGTTTTCAAACTAAAATGCCAATACCTGCATAAAAAGGTGGTGAGTCCAGGGGGCTTCCATTTATAATTTAATTTATGAGTATTTATAATAAAATTATTTATCAGTTTTTATATAGAAAAGCGTTTGTAAAACTTTCTTCATTATTCCCGGAGATGTATCGGTAGTTTTTGTTGAATGCGGTAGTGATAGCAGTAATTTTGCTGAGAGCCTCTGCTTCGCTATAAGCCCAGGTACTAGATTCGTACCTCCTAACTTCGAATTCTTTTACTTTACATATCAAAGTGAATGATGGACAATCATAATCGTTACAATAAGGAGATTTTCGTCTAAAAAAAATTCTTGTAAATGATTTCTGTATATTATATTTTGTTTAATTTAGAATCAAATGTTTTAGTTTAAAAAAATACTTTCTTAAATGAAAGGGAAAATTTTAACACTATATAATGACTGTTTTTATGCAAATTTATTTATAATTTCTCTCTATATCATTATTCGCAAGGCCATAACTTTTTGGGTCGGGGAGATGGGCGCACATAGAGAGGATTTTGTAAGAATCCCCTTATAAAATTAATAAGCATTAATTTAAAGATAGCTAGCCTCTCTACCTGATATTTATGTTAATTTTAAAAAATACTCAATATTTATTTTAAATTTTCAAGTTAAAAAAAACAGGGCACATTCGACATACAGGGTACATTATTTTCTTTATATTTGCGAATATAATCATAATATTAGTTTTGGATGATTTTGATAAGTTAAATTTATTTTTATCATAATTTAATTCAACCCTTTTATTTGTATAAGTTTGCGAAATAATATTCTGATCGACATAAATGATCCTAAGTTACTGACAAATATACCCATATCGCACTATTTTCATTAATCTTGATCAAAATCATGGATGATAGAATAGAAAGGCTTTAATTTGATATATTATTTTTATAGTACTTAACATTAATTTAAAAACCTAGACAAAAAAAAATAGTAATATAAATTTACTTATTTTTAGATTATAGAAAACCATATTTTTTTGTATAAAATTATATTATGTTGACATAGGAGAAAATTTTGTCAAATAGGGGTATCAAGTATATTATTATAATTGTCAATTGTCTAAACAAAGTTTATTTTTGGGAGTTTATTATTTTTAATATATATAAATTGTTCTACGTGCCCATTTCCCTACTTATAAACATAATTTTTAATTTAAAAAGAAATAATACATCAATTTGCCATATATTTATCTAGATTTACTATAAATATTTAATATGCTGAATATCTCATAATTAATATCTAAAATAAATATGATACCACACTATTATATATTGTCTGAAAGGTTCGTTAAGAAGTAATTTTGGCCTAATATAGCTTTTTAAAAATTAGACCCGCCCCTGTAAAGTTTCTGATTGCGGTCCTGATTATACTATATCAAAGATCTAACAATATTCATAATATATTTCATAATTTAAAAAATTTTAAATTATTATCTAAAGAAGTGTAATTTTGAACTAAAAGGTAATACCACTCTATAATTATTCCTTAATATACTTATGCTAGCGTTTAAATTCAAAATGGAAGCGATTTAAGTTCTAATCTTATTTTTAAAACTTTTTGATCAAAAGTCTTAACTTACATTTTCCTCTTTAAAAAACGTGAGTTTTATTCTTTATGCCTATACACTAGAGCGCTGCATAAAACTATCTGAGTCCTCTACCAAATTCGGTCTACCTTAATTATTATGCACTCTTATTTATGTTACAACAACGGATTCTTATATAAAATTAACAAAGTATAAATAATTATTATTTTATAAAATATTTTTTACTCTAGTCCATTTGAATTTCCTACAGAGACGGGATCAAAGATTCCACCAGCATTCATAATACAGAGAAGCCAAAAATAGATGTTTAAATTCAAATATTTCATTGACAAATATATTTTTGTAGTTTGTTAGTTTGAGAAAATATTTTGTCTTAAAAATTAAAAATATCGATTATTGAGTAAATTATTGTTAATTAGGGATGCCACCTTAAAACATGCGGAAAATAAATAAAATTTTTATAGTTGTATTTTAAAGCAGGGTTTCGAACCGAACCGAACCGCCAAACCGGAATGAACCGTTATAATTTTCTGAACCGTAACCGTAACCGAACCGTTATAAAGAAACTATAAAAAGAGCGAACCGTTATAAATATTTTAAACCGGTTCAAAACGGTTTTAAAAAATAATTAAATTTAAACATTATTAACCTAAATTTGAAATTTGAATTTTCCTTGGGGAAATTTTTAAACTCTTTATTTCTTTTCAAATTGAATTTTTTTTACATGTCAATTAATACCACCAGGTTTATTGTTTTTTCTTTTCACTTTAATAAAATACTCAATACTCAATTTAATAGAGATTAGGCGAATTACCAGTTAATTAGATAAGAATCTTAAAATCAAACAAGACTATTCTTTAAATTGAGAGAGAGAGAATTATTTATTTATTTATTTATTTATTTACATTTACACTTTAGTGGATAATTTCTTGAAATAATAACTACTTACTGATTAATCTTCTAAATCTTATAGTACCAAATAAAATTTAAACAGATGAAATTCAATTGGATAATTATAAAATGATAAAGTATCCATTAAAGTTTTAATTTAATTACAGTTGTTTTTGGAATTTTAAACAGCTTTTCTATTTCTTTTCTTCTTATTTTATATCTTATCTTTTTGCTTCTTTCTTTTCTCTATTAAATCAAATTATTTATTAAAATGGTATTAGTAAGCTCCATTCACTTATTTAGTTTCATCTGTGTACAAGGTTTGTTGTTAGTATCTTTGAGGAAAAAATCGGCATAATTATATGAAGGGTAGGCCTGCATATAATTCACGTTTTTGGGGGAGATCTTGTCAGATAAGATAAATATAAAAAATTATACTGATTCTATTAAGAAATTTATTTATTCTATTTTTATAATAAAAGATTCTGATCTATTCATCATCATATAGCATATTAGTATCTATTAAATGGTTCGGGAAAAGTCAAATCCTGTGCGATCATATTTTAAATTAGATATTGTAAAAAATCAATCTACTTGTAAACTAGAAAACTGTGGTAAAGTTTTAACTGGGGACCATGCAGCAAATCTTGAACGACATATAGAAAGATTCCACGATAAGGAATTCAAATTATTAAAAAAAAAAGAAGATAATTTGACTATTAAAAAAACAATAACAAAAAATGCAAATAATCATAATACAATTCAAAATGCTTTTACCAAAACTAATACAATACAAATTAATATTAATAAAGACACTTTAATCCGCTCCTGCACTGAGTTAATCACAGTTCATGGGAGACCAATAAAATCAATTGATGACAAAGCATTTAGAAATATTATAGATCCGATAATTTAACCATCAATTCTGAAAATATACGCAATAATATTTAAAAAATGGATGGCATTTGATTTTTCGCAAAATTTAAAAAAAGAAATATACCAAAAACTTATATCGTTAAAATTAGATATTGCAACTCGATATGATAGGTCCATACTGGGGATCAATATTCAATTTATAGATAATGGAGAAATAAAATTAAGAACGTTATGCATGAAAGAGATAAAAGAAAGACATACATCAGAATATCTAAAAAAAATTATTCTAGATGTTCTAAACGAACATGAAATAAGAATTGATCAAATTTATACGATAACCACAGACAATGCAGCTAACATGATTAAATTAATCAAGCTGTTAATACATCATGATGAAGAAGATGATGAAGATGATATCCTTAATGATTATTTAGATAATGATAATTTAAATAACAATGATGATATAATTGTTAATGAAAATGAAGAACCTTTTTTTAATATTGAAAGTATTAATCTTGTACCTCATACGAGATCCATGTTAATGGGCATTAGATGTGCCTCCCACACATTTCAATTAGCAATTAATGATTGCATAAAAAATTCAAATGAAATTGTTATTATTATTAATAAAGCAAGAAACATTTGCAAAAAAATAAGAAATCAGACTACAATGTCTATTTTGTCCAAATTAAATTTAAAAAAGCCACTAATAGATTGTTGCACAAGATGGAATTCAATCTATTTAATGTTGGAAAGATTATTAGAGTTAAAAAACTTTTGCCAAGAAATATCGGCCCAAAGTAATGATCGTGAAAAATGTTTGTCAGAGAATGAATGGAAAATAATTAGTGATATATTAAAAGCTTTATATCCATCTTATATTTTGACAGAATATATACAAAGTGAACAAATGACCATGAGCGATTTTTATGCAGCATGGATCAAATGTATCATGCAAACTAGCAAAATAGACACTTCATTTGCCAAACTTTTAGTTTGTACAATCAAAGCACGAGAGATTAATTTGAAAAATGAAGTTTTTTGCTCAGCTATATATCTCGACCCAAGATATAATGTATTTTGATCATTTGAAGAAAAAGATATCGCCAAAAAACATCTTTATAAAACTTGGAACTTAATCCAAAATTTAAATAATCAGAAATATTGAAAATCTAGATACTATTCCTACGTGTTCACATTCGAAAGATAACTTAGATGATGATTTTGAAGATTTATTAATGTCGCATGAAAGCCTTAATAAGAATAGTTCTCAGGGCATAGAAAATTATAATAAATGTGTAGAAATAGAGTATATAATTCGGTCATTTGATAATATAGAGAGATTAGAAAAAGATGCAAATCTTTTGAATTATTGGGAAAATGTAAAGAATAGTATGCCAGAACTTTATAAGTTAGCTATGGTTGTGCTAGCAGTTCCAGCTACGCAGGTATCCGTAGAAAGAGCATTTTCTAGCCTTAAGTTTATACTCTCTGCGCAAAGAACTAAATTAAATCCTGAAATATTAGAAAATATTTTAGTTATCCGTTCCAATTCTCTTTTTAAAAATAAATAATATAAATTTATTATATTTATGTGTTATTTTATTCCTCATTGTATTTGCGCATGTTTGTGTTTATATTATTTATGAAATAAAAAGAATTGATTTGTCTAATTTATATTTACTAAGTTTAATAAAAATATATCTATTAGATTATCATTCATGGTTAAATTAAATAAGAAATTATAAAAGATTTTTCTCTAAAATTAATATATACATGGTTAATGATTAATTTTTTTTTAAATTAAATTTATAAAAACCGGAACAAACCGAAAAGAACCGTTATAAATTATAAACCGAACCGATATGATTATTTTTTTAAAAAACCGAAATGGAACAAAACCTTTATAAAATTTTAAACTAAAATCGGAACGAACCGAACCGTTATACTAAACGGTTCGAAACCCTGTTTTAAAGATTATTTGCCAAGTTAAACTATAAATAATAATTAATCGAAATAGTTAATAATGAAAAACAGTCAAATTGACAGCTTTTGGGGTATCTCTTTGACCAAAAGAAGAGAAAAAAATTAATTGGGTTTTAATAAAAAATTTAAAATAGCTATAAAAAATTTACTATATTTTTTATCATCCGGAAAACATTTTTGGTTTATTTTTAAAATATAAAATTTGCAAGCCGGGTTTTCCGAGTAAAAATCAAATTTAAAAAATATAAAATATTAAACATAAAAAATAATATTTGTTTGAATTCATGGTACGCTCTAATAGTTAATTTGCCAAATTAAATATTTTTATTCGAATCCATCATAGATATGAAAAATTTGAATAATTTGTAGTTACTCATGATTTTTCTACAAAACCAACCTCACTACAAAGCCAACCTTAGCATGGTCAATCCGTGTGATGTAGTGACTATCTCACTTTTAAAATGACGGAAAACCGATTTTAGTGTGTTTGGAGTTAGACTTGGATGGATATTAAATGATAATTATTTTTTGGAATAGATTTTATAAACTTTATTTTATTCCTATTCATTATCTATATATAAAATTTAAACTAATCAATAATGATCTATTTATTCTTTTGCAGCATCATGATTTAATATTATACTAAAGATATAGTTTCTATATTATTGATTTTAAATAATATTAATAATTTTTAAAAAAATTTAAAAATGAATATAAGAAATGTGAATAATCATCTAATATTAATATAAGATTTTATTTTGAAATAATACTTGTGTTTATAAGATTTAAATCTTGCAAAATATATATAGCAAAAACCTAGTGTTGTTAAAAAACCCCATTTGGGTTGACTTTTAAAAACGAACCGATTAAGATTATAACGAAAATAATATTATGTAAGCCTGGTGATTTTGCTCATAGATGGCAGAAAGATTTGGACTTCTACTTGCCAAATCTTGAGGCTTATACAATATTATTTTGGCTAAAATCTTACACGGACCGTTTTTAAAAATTGACCCAAATGGGGCTTTTTAACAACACTACAAAAACCTTCATGGGCTGGGCCTGGGTTTTGAATTTTTTTTTGGGGCTAGTGCCGATCTTGGGTCTAAAAAAATTTTCATTTAAATTTAGCTTATTTAAAATAGTTTGTAACATAAGAAAAATATTTTTCTTTCATCTAATAATGATAAATTTGAGTATTGCAAACAAAATGATTGCCTACATACACTAATATATTGTTTATATTTATTGAACAATAAATTAAATTTATTCTGGGGCCGGTTTTGAGGCCGGGCTTGAGAATTTCATTTACTATTAAATATAAACCAGTTTCTTTTAGAGGGATTTTCTTAATAATAAATGTGTCTATAAAAATAGACTCTCACAAGAGCAAAAGACTATTATTTCCTCTCCATCTGATAATCTTGTAATTTATATTTTTTCCAATTTTAGGAAATCAAAGTCATTATCACAATCAAAAAAATTATATTCCAAGTAAAGGTCTGCATTGGGCGGGTTTTAGCCCACCCATGCCTACTTCGGACGGGCGTGTTCGGGTTTTCTGAAATATTTTTGGCATTGGGCAGGTTAAGGTGGGTAAAAAAAATTTAAGTAATGGCTGGGTATATTTTAAATATTTTTCAGGCGAAATGAGCAGAACAGACTTCAATTTATTAAAAATATGTTGTACAGGAAAATAAATATATAAAGAGCCAAACCAGCATTAAAATAATTTTTAAACATTAGGCAGGCGGGCGGACGTGTTAAACAAAATATATAGATAAATGGGAGTATGGGCGGGTATATTTTTTAAAAAAATTATAAGTGGGCAGACGGGTAGGTTAAAAAAATTCCAAACAACCAGTGGGTGGGCTTTTGGCTAAAAACTCGCCAATTGCAGATCTATAATTCCAAGTACCAGAAAAAAAGAAAATATTTGATCTTGGATTTATTTTAAAAAAATTAATTATGAATTTTGAAAGAATTCGAAAATTAACGAATAATGAATATTTACTAAAATTATTTTGAAAAATTTACAAATATGAATTATTTAAACATATTATTCATAACTTTAAAAAAATTAATATCGTGTGATTCATTTTAGGGGGTTTATTTTCCATTAGCTTATTAACAGTTTGGAACCCACACACAACATCTATTTCAAATTTGTAGGAATTGGAACCAAATTTTTAATTCCGAACGAGAGCCATTTTTAACCTAGTCCCAAACTCAGTTTATAACATAATTGAGATCAGTATAAGAATGTTTGTAATTTTTATATGAAAGAATTAAATTTAAATTATTCACATTTTAAAAAAAATTGCAATATTTTTTACGAATTTCGCAGCGTCAGTAGTACTTTTTAACTATGAGGCCGTGCAGCCTACCTTTTTTCATTATATTCATTATTAAAACACCATAAGCAAATAATTGATTACTCAACTTTTTTATTAAATAACCCGTCATTCATTTGATCCGATAACTTTAAATAATATAAATAGGCGTCAAAAAATTATTCAAATTTTCATCAAATATTCTTGAAGGAGCGGGGTAAAAACGAAGCCATCAACAATTTTGCCCATATCTGTCAGCGTATTGTTTTGAACATTTCCGTCATTTAGCTTATCGCTTGAATCAAGTTTAATTTCTACTATATTCTTTGCGGACCAATAAAAGAAAGATTTAAAAAACATATATATATTTCTCTTTAACTAGTCAAATTCATTAAATATTTTTAAAAAACTATAATAGGATATTTAAATTCTAATTATAAATATCAAATAATAGCAAATCTGGCCCAAAACTGGCAGTTGTGGTTTAAAAATCCGGATCCGTAGGCATAATTTTAAAAACCGGACCAGGCTAAATTTCTTAAAAATTAAATTTAAATTATATCTAGCTTAAAAGATTAGTAGAGAACTATTAAATGTTCATATGCTTCTCTCCAAATTAATTAAAATGCCTAAAATAACAAACCCGAGCAGAACTATAAATAATCAAAATTTTAAAATCCAAATCGGATCACAAAATTTGATGGCTGCAGGTTTCGACTAAAGTGTATATCAATTTCTTATTAACTTTGGGTAATCGAGCCTATGTGGCTGATCCATCCTATATATCAAAATGGCGGTAAAAAAGCAAGTGATTAGCGACTGTGCCAATTATTATTTTACAAAAAAAACATTTCTTTTTTTAAGTAAAAATAAAATAATAAATAGCACAGACTTGTCACTTGTCAGTTATGAAAAAAAATATACATAGTAATTATTCTTTAATCGTGGCTGGATATTTGAAGATAGTATGGTTCATAAATGCAGATTTTAAAAATTATAATTATATATTATTATAAGAAAAAATATAAGGTAATTTTCATTTATTAAGAATATCAAAGGATCCAAAACAAAAGCATTTTGACCTTCCTGTTTAGGTCAAAAAAACAATTTTTATATAAACAATGAAATTTTTTTAAAAGAAAAGTTATTCAATAGATGAATTGTATCCCATAATAAAAAAAATAACTCCACAAAGGGTGAATAAAATTATTTTCTATGTGCAGTCCATCCGGATTTCTATCGGACTACGATGGAATTCGGAAAAATAGTAATTGTATTCATATATCGTATCCTACATAATTATATAAGGGCAACTTTTTTTGTTCATATTAATTTTGGCAAACTTTCTCTAAAAATGGATGACAGGATTTCTTATTAATTTAAAGTTTGGTAAAAGAAATGTATACTAATACAACTTTTTTGCCGATCGATATTAGTGATCTGCATCGGGCCTAATTTTTTAAAAAAAAATTGTCCTGCCCGGAGCGATCCCAAAGAAAATTATTTTATTTGTTTCGAAAAAACCAACCCTAAATAAAAATAAAGATGATTATTTGCCCGCCCGGCTCGGCTCGAATTTACATAAATATAGAAAAATTTAATATTTTCTTGATTGAAAAAAATATAGCTCTTTGTTTCTTGCAAGAATATTAAATTATATCCATTTATTTCACAAAATTTAATGATATCCTATAAATTTAAGCCCGATCCAGCCAGGCAAATTTTTTAAAAAGGCCCGTCCCAGCCTGAACCAAAATTATTATTCGTTAATGCCAAGCTCGGGCCTTTGCAGATCTCTAATCGATATTAATATGAAATTAAGTTTAAAAAAAATATTACAAGATCTTTAGTCTCTATTTCCAAAACAATATTTTTTACTAATTAATTTAAGCCTTAAAATGCCTTTCAAATAAACCTTTTAGTCTTATATTATTTTATTTATTATATATTTATCAGACCTGCAGAGATAACATTTGCATGCCCAGTCCGGATCTGTAAAAAATAATTTTGGTCCATATTTTAAAAATATTTCGGCCCGCCTTCTGCCAACCATGATTTTTAAATAAAATTTCTCGGCCCTGCCCGGGTATATAAGAATATTTAGATAAAATGGTTTTGAAATGATATAGGAAATATGAGGAATGAATGAATGTGATATATTATTCCATTATACAACAATTTTTAAATATATTTTAATTTATATATTTATTTTATTTCCTCTCGGCGCGCCGCCAAAAACCCATAAAAAATTTAAAAAGATCGCCGCAGTCAATTTAAACTTCGGCGCACCTGTCTAGTTATAATATATATAAACTTTTATAAAAATATGAAAGAGTTGGGTTTAATTTAAAAAAATTTTTATTTTCCATGGAATTCGCCATATATATTTTGATTTTCAGATTGGGTTGGGACAAATATATAGAATTAGTTTTGTTTGGATTGGATAATGATTTTCTTCCTAAGGGTCAAATCGAATATCAATAAAATCATGTGCTTAATATTTATTTTTTTTAGCTTTCACTTTTTCTGGTGGTAAGCTCCTTCAATATCTCTCTTCACTTTATGTTATTCATGCTATTTTATCTAATTTATATTTCTTCATATTGGCTCTAGTTTTGGCCATCTAGTTTTGGCCTTCCTCTTTTAGCCCATCACTTCCAAACTCTTAACCTTATTTCTTATATAGTTTATAGGCCTTCTCATTGTGTGCCCATACCACCGTCTGTTCACCATTATCTTAGTCTTAATAGGCACTACCTTTAAACTTCCTAGTATTCTTGTTCCTCCCACCTTATCCTTTCTTGTTACCCCAGCAATCATTCTCAGAAATCTCATCTCCCTAGTTTGTAGACATCACTCGTCTGATTCTTTGGTTGGCCATGTTTCCGAACTATATAGAATAGTTATTTGTACTATCGAACTGTAAATTTTTCCCTTCAATATGTGGGATTCTTTTGTCAAGAGCACTCCAGATAAAGATCTCCACTTTAACCACCCTTGATTAATTTTACTCTTTATCTCTTTCTCAGTGCCTTTGCTTGTATAGTGGAGCCCAGATATTTGCAGCTTTCAATTGCTGATATCTGCTATTCATTTATATCAATGTTCTCTGTTTCATTTCCTCCTATCACCATATACTCCGTCTTTTCTCTGTTTAATTTTAGTCCGTGCCTTTATAGGATATTTATCCAACTCACTAATCTTTCTTTCATTTCATCCTTGAATTCGGCAAGTATCACAATATCATCTGCAAATACCATATTCCACGGGATTGTTTGCAATATAGACTATGATAACATCTATTATTGTTATGAAGAGAAGTGGGCTAAGAGTTGACCCTTAATGAACTCCCACGGCTATTGTGAAGCCTGCTGAAGTACCAGTTTTGCTACGAACTATTGTTGTGTGGCCCATATACATATCCTGTATTATTCTATATTTTTCGGGAACCTTTTTGTGGCGTATCGCTCATCAGATAAGTTTTCTTGGGATTCTGACCTTTAGATCGAGAAAGACTATGTGTAGCTTTTTGTCCTTTTCACTCATATGCCTAATTCCGTGGATTGCATCAGTCGTTGATCATCCAGGCATAAAGAGAAACGAGTCTCTCCTATTTCGACTATGTCTCTTAACCTTTTTTCTATTATTTTTCGTAAAGCTTAAGACAGTGTGACATTCATTTTATGCCCCTGTAATTTTGACAATTGTGTGGAACCCCTTTATTTTTGAAGATAGGAACTAGATAGCTCTGCCTCCATTTTTGAGGAATCTCTTCGTTTCCCTATTTTATTGAATAGATTTGTGAGGAATTGTATTCCTTCATCTCCTAGTCCTTTAAGGGTATTGGAATGTCATTAGGACTCCTAGATTTGTTGTTTTTCATATGTTTGAGACATTGAGTTTATGATGTATGTAAGGTACCAGGTTCAATCCTGATAAGGAACTTTAAAAATTTTCCGATTTTTCTTCGAGACGTGTAAAAAGATATAAGATGAATTTCTGAGCTTAGAAATGTCACCCCGGTCACCGGCAGGCTTGGACAGCCGGGTGCTAGGATATTTGTCCAATAAACCAAATGAAAGATACACACAAAAATATAAATATGAAAGGTAGGGCGTTCCCTCCATGCGACGCGCAGGGTGAAGACCTCCATCCTGTGAAAATTAAAATAAAGGTTAAAGCAAAGAAAACAAGGTTAGCAAACTTGAATAGTGGTACACTTAAAGGTAAGACGAGAGAATTGGCATCCATCATCCTCAGTCAAGATCTAACTTTCTCAGTGGTAGAAGTTAACAGGATCTCTGATAGACTAATGAAAATATAACTCTGCATTGGTCAATTAATACTACACATCCTTTCAGTATGTGCTCCAAACGGGTTGCAAAGAAGAGGAGAAAGATGACTTTAGAGCTATCCTTAATGAAGCTGTAATAGAAATCCCTAAGGATGGCTTAGTCATAAGTGGAGACTTAAATGCGCATGTGGGAAAAGCAAGAGACAGCTACAAAAGGCATCATTGGGATTTGGATCTGGAGAAAGAAATGATAAAAAAGAGCATGCACTGAAATTTGCGCAAGCCATCGACCTTTCATTAATCAACACCTACTATAATAAAAAGGACAGTCATTTAATAACATGTGAAAGTGGTACAAGGAAAATCCAGATAGATTGCATGCTAATCCCTCGCAGAAGATTAAAAGTTGTAGTAGACTGCAAAGTCATCTCAGGAGAAGATATTGCTGCACAAAATAGGTTATTAATCATGGATTTACACCTCACAAATAAATTCACTTAAAACAAGATAAAACTAGAACCATGCATCAAATGGGGTAGATAAAAATCAATGACATATCAAATGCCTTTGCAATCAATGCAAATATTGAAACAATTCCTCACACGTTAATGAAAAAATATGGACAGACCATTCATCTAGATTAATAGACACTGCCAAATCTACACTAGGCTTGACAGGGGAGGTAACAAATCACATAAAGAACTATGGTTGTGGAATAAAGAGGTACAAGCCAGGAAATAAAGCCCTATATAAAATATGGTACAAATCCAAAAACCCAGATGACAAGACAAAATAGAAAAAGTTCAAGATAATAGCTACAAAGGCGGTGGCTAAGGTCAAAGCAATGGCATAAGATGGCAAGTACGAAGAACTACATAATAAAGAGGGGCAAAATAATGCATACAGAATAACCAAACAGCGAGAAAAGAATTCTAGGGATATAAACAGAGCTCCGAAGGGAAATTGATAATGAAGGAAAAAGAAATAATAAATAGATAGAAAGAATATTTTCAGGAGCTTCTCAACTTTCTAGATGAACACTCCCCATGTCAAAAACTTATAATAACCAGTAAAGGAACAAGAAATAATCACATGCATCAAACATATGAAAAACAACAAAGCTAGGGGTTTTGATGATATTCCAATAGAAAGCCTTAAAGCACGGAATATATATCCTTAAAAATTTGTAGAATAAAATAATAGAAAAGAGATTCCTCAAACATGGAGGCAGAACTATCTTATCTTTAAAAATAAAGAGGATCCACACAATTGTCAAAATTACAGGGGCATAAAATTAATGTCACACTGTCTTAAACTTTACGAAAAAATAATAGAAAAAGGTTAGGAGATATAGTCGAAATAGAAGAGACTCAGTTTGGCTTTATGCCTGAAAGATCAACGACTGATGCAATTCACGCAATTAGGCAAATAAGTGAAAAATATAGATAAAAGAACAAAAAGCTACACAAGATCTTTCTCGTTCTAAAAAAAAGGCCTTCAATAAAATCCCAAGAAAACTTTTCTGTGGGGTTATGCCACAAAAAGGTTCCGAAAATATATATGAATAATACAGGATATGCTTATGGGCCATACAACAATTATCCGTAGCACAACTGGTACTTCAGCAGGCTTTGCAATAGCCGAGGGAGTTTGTCCACTTCTCTTCATAACAGTAATAGATGTATTATCACAATCTATACCGCAAACAGTCCCAAGGAATGTGATATTTGCAGATGATATTGTTATACTTGCCAAATCCAAAGATGGAATGAAAGAAAGATTAGTGAGTTGGATAAATATTCTAGAAAAGCACGGACTAAAAATAAAAAGAGAAAAGAAGAGTATATGGTGATAGGAGATGAAACAGAGAGCATTGATATAAATGAATGACAGATATCGGCAATTAAAAGCTGCAAATATTTGAGTTCCACTATACAACAAACGGAAAAATAGAGAAAGAGATAAAGAGTTATAATTAATCAAGGGTGGTTAAAGTGGAGATCTTTATCTAGAGTGCGCTTTGACAAAAGAATCCCATACACATTGAAGAGAAATATTTACAGTTCCATAGTACAACTAACTATTTTATATAGTACGGAAACATGGCCAACCAAAGAATCAGACGAGAGAAGTCTACAAACTATGGAGATGAGAATGCTGAGGATGATTGCTGGGTTATCAAGAAAGGATAAGGTATGAAGTCCAAGAATACTAGGAAGTTTTAAGGTAGTGCATATTAAGACTAATATAATGGTGAACAGACGGTGGTATGGGCACACAATGAGAAGGCCTATAAACTTAATAAGAAATAGAAGTGATGGGCAAATATAAAAGAGGAAGGCCAAAACTTCAATGGGGCCATAAAGTTAGACAATATGAAGAAATATGAATTAGATAAAAGAGATAGCATGAATAACATAAAGTGGAGAGAGATAATGAAGGAGCTTACCACCAGAAAAGGTGAAAGCTAAAAAGAAATTTTTTTTATTTCTTCTATTTATTTTATATATATAATATGTAAACGAACACGTTCAATACGAAGTTCGTTTTTTTGAAAAAAATGATGAACGACGCTTCTCTTATTTTTGACGAACTTTCAACGTTTGAACCTGAACGTGTTCATTCTTTGGGTTTGTATTTTACGTTCGTTCAATTTTAAAAAATCTTCTTTTTATTCATTTGAAAATAAAAAATATCAATTTAATAATAACCCAAAAGAAAAAGGGTTATTTTTAATTAGTTTTCTTTATCATCACATATGATTTTTTTCTTAACTAGTCACTATTTATATTCTATAATATATTAAAAACATCTCAGGTGTTTTTTCATTTCAGGATAAGGTAAAGGTTAACTTTTTATTATTTATTTAAGCTTAAAATTTTCTAAAAACATATGTTTATTGAATCAATATAAATTTATATTGAAAATTTTGGCTGGACCAGTGTTTTAGTTATTTAATTTATTAATAGAAGTAATTATAGATGGCGATATGCTAAAATTCTAAATTATTTTTTTTAAATATATAATTTTTAAAAAATACTTTACTTAATTTTGATATACAATATCATTATTTAGTCATTGATTTCCATTTTGTTGAGGTTTTAAAACGTCTTATGAATTTATGAGCTTAAAAAACAAATAGTTTCAATAAAATTTTAATTTAAAAAAAATAATTCTAATCACTTATATCCTAAACCATAACTTTTTCATATAAAAGAGCAGAAAATTATTCCACCAAAAGATAAACTCGTTACCTCCCAAAGTTTGATATTTGGAACATTCAAAATATTACATAATGAATTGAATTAGAAAAATAAATTTTTTTAGAAGTTGTTTTATAGAATTTTACTCTAAATAAACCTAATCGAAAAGTTTAAATCGAGAGATAAATTTTCAAACTTGTGGTAAAGTTGAAAAATAAAAATGGATATAGCAAATATTTTTTTACTCTTCATTTAAGAGGTTTTATGGTACAAATAATTCATCTATTGAAAGCTTTTTTTCTAAATCTACAAAAAAAAATTTTTTAAATCGTCAATAAATTTTCTTACTTGCAAAATGGTATTAGAGGAACCGTATCGCTCCATCTCAAACAAATAATCGGAAGATTCTTGGGCATTGTGAATATTGATAGTTGATTGCGTTTCGCGTTTGTTGAAATCATGATATAAGTTTTTATCGTCGTTGTGATTATGTAAGACGCTGTCAGAATCAGATTTATCGCCGGTGGCAAAAAATATTCTCCCGTTTTCCGTTATTTTTAACTTCCCAATTGGTTGGAGAGATGGAGTTTTTTGTTGAGATGTGAAATCCTTTCTGTCAGGTGTAATATTTGTATCATTATTATTAATGTTCTCAAGGGTAAAGGGGAGAATGCTGGGGAAATTGAAGATGTACAAGTTTTGTTGGTCTTCTTGTTGATAATCCATGTTTTTATCTTCGAAATCATAGGAGTATTCACTTTTTACTTCTAAAATTTAGTTGTTTTTTATAAATAAACTTTTTAAAAAAGAAAATTAAAAGAGGAATAGGGTAGTCTACCTAAATCAATGATACTATAACATTTGTAAATACGATAAAACAATCCGAAATCAACCTTACACGTTTATATTACCTTATTCCTATAAATATAAAATCCTGTAACGATGACTAGTTCAACAAGCCTAACAAACCTGATTGCGGAAAAAGATTTTCCCGGTCTATCAATTCCCATAATGAGCTTTCTAAATGTGATTTTGAATCGAGGGCTAAAAATAATTAAGTAATATATTAATTTTTTTAAATTAAATATAGTTATATCCAACTTTAGCTTAATGGTTTAATTTTTAGTTTCTAAAAGTTCGTTCTAGTTACAATTCTGTAAAAAAAATTGGTGACCTCAAGAAACCTATTTCAAATATTTTTATTATTTAAATAAATGCAAAACCTTCTTCCGGTTCTCGAAAAATATTTTTCTTCCAGCGAGGCTTAGCGTCAGATTTTAAGCCTTTTTCGTGTTTTAATGGTAAAGAAAGGGGTTTGTAAGAAGGGGAAATATGACTAATATCGTAGCTATTTTCGCTGATTAAAGAAGTAACCTTAACGGAAGAGCTGTCTCTGTCCTAATGTTAGGTTTTCATATTTTTACAAAATTTAAAATTTTTTATTAAAATTAGTATTAAAATTTAATAATACCAAGTTGAGTACACAAAGACAAAACTAATGATTAGTAAAAAACAGTTTGTACTATCATATTAAATTTAAAGAACAAATTATATGCACAGTTTTTAAATCGAAATGCACAATTTTTTATATATAATTTACAGCTTTTTAATTATTTTCAATTTTTAAATGATGTTCAGTTTTATAATTATATTCTAAGTTTAATAATTATATTCGCAGTTTAATAATTATGTTCGCAGTTTAATAATTATATTCGCAGTCTAATAATATTCATAATTTTTATATTATTTTCACAGTTTTTTGAATAAATGCTTAATTTTATAATTAAATTCACATAATTATATTCAAAGATTTTAAATTATTTCCAGTTTTTTAAATAAATGCTTAGTTTTATAATTATTTTCATAGATTTTTAATTCAAATCCGCAGTTTTACTAATTTAATAGACAGCAAATTATTACATTGGTAAAATCTAACCGATCGCGAAGTAGTTAACAATTTTCTGTTAGCTTTAACCGAACTAAGCGGTTCTAGCTAATTGATAGCACAATTGTAGCGGTTAGCTTAGGGCTAAGCAACAAAGATAAGGGTTAGTGTATATTATGAGGAGAAATACTTAATATATTTGACAACAAACCCACTATATAAAATCTAACAAAAATTGAAAAATTATTTGAAATTGTGAAAACATGAATTGATAGCAAATTGATTTAAAAACTGAAATCAAATATTATAAAACTGTGAAACTAATTATTTAAACTGTGAATTTAGATTATTCCTACTGTGCAAATAATATCCTCAAATTTATGCACTTATAACAAAAAGAATTGCAAAAAATATTAAAATTCTAATATAAGTAAAGTAAATCTTATTAATATTTGATTATCAAGGGCACCCATCCATATATTTTTTCGTGGAAGGATGGAAAATATATTTTTAATTTCTTATGGCTGTGCCGATCTACATATTTTTCACCGATCCGATCCGATCCGATATTTTCGAATATTACTTCAAAACCGATCCGATGATCCGATATTTATACTGATTTTTCATCAACCTCCTTTGAACCAAATGTAATTAAGAAATCAATATATTTCTACAATTAAACTATAATTAAAAAAATATATATTTAATAATATATCCATTTTATGTTGGTATGAATTATAAAATTGTAATATTTAATATATGAAATTATAATATATTAGATTTTTTTAAATAAATATAAGAGCCTCTAGATTTTCTGGGAATAAGTTTCTACGATATGGACTCTATATCTCCTGCCGTACTGAAAACAGACTCGGATGATTCCGCAGATAAGGCATTTTGCAAAATTATCTTTGTCTTTTGTAAAATATTTTCATAATTCAGATACCATATTTAAAAAAATTCTTTTATTTAAAGTATAAATAAAAAATGGCGTTATTTAAAAAGATTTAAAATAAATAAAACTTTGGGTGTTACTTTCTATTTTTATAGAAAAAAACTTTTAAAATACTATAAATCTATTTTAAAAAAGAAATAAAATTTTAAAAAATTATTTAGGAAATATTATAATAATGTAAAATAAATATATATAACATAAAACAAAATAGCAAAAAAAAGTAAAGTAAAAAGATCGAATTGGATCGGTTTTGTGTAGGTATCGGCCCGATCCGATATTTTCGGAAAACGCTAAATATAGGTACCGATCCGATCCAATATATAATATCGGCTCAGCCCTATTATTTATTAATTTTAAAAAAAGCACGCAGTCCTAATAACAATTACCAAAACTATATAAAGGTAAAAATAAATGTTACATTAAAGTTTGGAGGGCATTAGTATAGTAAATAAATATTCGGGCTTATAAACTTTAATTCATGATATTGTTAATATTTGAAGAAGCAATAGACACCACGACAAATATATTTAACCTAGATGATAAAAATTCGTAGTCTAGTTTTGAATTTGATCAATGTGATAATGATATAGTGTTAAAAAACATAACTTTAAATCCAAGTATATCTACATATTGGCATAACATTTCAATGATGCAAGAATGGGCGAATGGGACTAACAAAAGTAAAATTATCATTATATTTCTTTTCAAACAAAATATGGGCAATAATTGGGTCATAGATTTTCAATAACGGATATTTAGGTTAGGCATGGGCCATGAAATGAAACGTGACCCTTCGTGTCAAGATGGGTCACGGCGTGAGTGTGAATAAATTTAAAAATAAAGGGCGTGACGGGCCTTACCAAAATTTTTCCCGGGTGTGAACATAAATTTACCGTAAATCACGGAAATTTTAATTTTTAAAATTGTATTTTTATAAATTTGCAAATTTATATTTATAATATATATTTTCTAATTTAATTTAGTTCTTTCAAAAAGAATAATTTTTGAAAACAAAAAATCTTCCGCATCTTATAAACAATTTTCTTTTATGTTTAGGTGTTTTATCGTGAGACTTTTTGATAAATTTTGCTTAAACATTTTACAGAAAAGATATTTTTTTGTAAAGATCTTCGATCTTTAAATGCAACAGAAAGTGAAGGATTTTACAAGCTAAGCAAAGAGTTAATAAATGATGGTGTTACATATTGACAGCAAAATATAAAAGATATACTTGTGAGCCGAAAACTCTATGAACTCCAAAGATATATAATGATATTAAAACTAAGATTAAAAGCATGATCAATAATAATTATTTGTCCATAACCACTGATTTTTGGAAGGAATAAAAATCGAAGTTTTTTAACCATTACAGTATATATTATCATTATGGATTTTGAATTAAAAACATTTGTTTTGGCCATAAAGGAAATGAAAACAGGCGTCAATATTAAAATGCAGGCAATTAAATTTTAGAAGAATCCACAGAAGTAGAAAATTATTTAAATAAAGGTATTGTTGTGACTGATAACGGAACAAATCTTATAAGTTCATTCAAAGATGACGAAATGCTAGATGTATATGCCATATACTAAATAATATTATGCATTATATTTGACAATTGTTTAACTGAAATAGCCTTTATAAATAGTGTAAAAAAAAGAGTACAATATTTCAAACAATCTACAACTAATAGCAAGCTATGTCACACCCTTAAACAAGATGTAGTATATATCATGATGCAGAGTTTCTTAAAATCATATTCTAAAATACAGGTGTACTTATTTAGCAAGCAAGAATTATATAAATTAGCCACAATTGATATCAACATCATATGAAAGTTATATAAATTTTAGTCAATATTTAAAGAATGCTCGGATAATCTGAGCGTAAATTCTCGTCCCAAAATAAATGAAGTTTTTCTATGAAGACAAAATTAAGTAAAATTTTGTTAACCTTATGAACGTGATACAATAATAATCAAAATTTTAAAAACAGAACAAGATTTCTTTTAAAATAAAGATTTACTATGCAGCCACTATATAAGGTCCGAATTTCAAAAGTCTTAAGTTTTTAATAGAAGAAGAAAAGGATGATATATATATAAAACAATCTTTAAAATTCTAAATAAAATTATCAATTATAAATTTCCTAATTTATCCTAAACTCATAAAAAACCGTATACTCTAAATGGTCAATGCCAAATATCATTTATAAATTTCCTAATACATCCTACACCCATAAAAGACCGTATATTCTAAATGAAAAATTTAGAGAATTTCTAGATGATTCTGATGAAGTATCAACATCTACTGATGAAAGCGGTGAGAATGAACTTAATAAATTCTTCGCGTATAAGACGAATAACAAGGCAATATTTTGAAGTTTTGGAACTAGGAATATTCATTTCCTTTTTTGAGAAAATTATCGAGTAAATTTTGTCAACCCTCGCAAGTTCGGCTCTAGTGAAAGGTTATTTTCCGTCTCCAATCTCTTGTTAGAGGAAAGGCGTACACAATTGAAATAAAAAAAGTAGGACATTCTTTTTTTCAAAATTTAGATTTATAGATTGTATTTATTTTTTGTTATTAATATGGAATATGAAATTAGAGAAATGAATAGAATAAATTTAAAAAAGTGTAAAATTATAGCAATAGTTATGAAAAATTTAAAAACACCGTGAATTTTCAGGCGTGAATCAAATTATTGCTTTTCGTGAGCGGGCGGGTCGGGTCAAAAATTTTTTAGTGGTAAGCGTGAATGGGCGTGAATTTTTTTATTGCCAAAATGATCGGGTGGGCCGTGAATAAAAAATTTGGCCCGCGCCCACTTCTAATTCAGGTATTATTAGCATTCTTTACATATTTAATTTATTTTATATTTTTATAAATAACAGCCATACCGTTATATTCTATGTTTCAAAAGTTAAATATTGGGAATTATCAAAAAAAAAATGCTTAACTCCCGTTCAATTTTTATGTCATTATGTGATAGAATTATTGCCTTATAAAAATATGGAACAATAAGTAGAATGCAAACGTAATGTTTTCTGAAGAAATAAGAATACTTATAATTTTCTTCTCTATCTTAAACTGTAGCTAAATATTTATTTGGGGAAAAAAAGAAAATCAGAACTTACCGCACTTTCATTTCTAGCCAGATATGGTCCTGGTTTCAAGCACTCATAATGAGCACGTTTTTTAGTTGCTGGGCTGACTCTAAATTGAAGAAGATCCTCACTATGCTCTTCAAACTTAAACAAAATATTTTTTATACAAGATAATTGTAATTTAATGTTAATCCAATCATACTTATATCTAATAAATTTTTTTGGCAAAAGTTGTTTCATAAACTATTAACTTTCGTATTTATACAAATGATTAAATTTTTTCGTGGCGCTGCCGCCGATATAAAATGTGGCGTCGAGGCTATCGCCGATAATTTTAAAATAAAATGTAGCCGCCTAAAAAAATCAATTCAGAATTTCAGGGTCAATTGATATCATTTAGAGGCTTTGACGTTGCGGCTCTCAAAATCGACTTTCCGATTTTAACTTTACAAATGTATGGCATCCATTCATTTTTTAATTAAATAAAGTAATAAAATTCTTCATAGGGAGGGTTGTATTTTCTTTAAATGTCATTAAAAAGTGCTAGTTTAAACCAGGGATAACCGAAACGAATATCGTTTCGGTTCAGGTTTGGATAAAAATTACGGTTCAAGGTTCAGGTTCGGTTCTAAAAAAATAAAAATACCGGTTCGGTTCGAACCTCTAAAAACTGTTTGAACGCTTTTGTGCAAACCTACATTTGAATTATGTATAGGGGAAAAAAATTTTTATTTCATAATTAAAATAAAAAACACATATATGTAAAGCCTTCTAAATTGCACATTATAAAATAATATTTAACTTATAAATATGAACGCGTTCGTGAAAGTTCGTTTTTTTGAAAAAAATGATGAACGGCGTTCCTTTTATTTTTGACGAACTTTGAACGTGAACACGTTCCTTTTTTATGACGAACGCGTTCGAATTTAACGTTCGTTCATTTTAAAAATACTTTTTATTTTTATTTATTTGAAAAATTTAATATTTCCAATTTTTTTAACACATAGTTTAATAGGTTCAGGAGCTGCTATGATGAACAGCAAGCACCTTAAATTTGTTGAAGATTTTTACTGGCTAAAAGAAAATGTGGAGGATATATGTAAGCACACTGAAGCAAGTTTCAGTTTGAAACAATCTAAGGATGCAATTAATGTACAAATATCTCCACATGTATTATAACATGAAATTAGAACTATATAATAATCTATATATTAGGATTATGAGCCAAACATTCAAGATATGTTTTGTACAAATATCATCACAAGTATTATAACATTAAATTAGAACTATATAATAATCTATATCTTAGGATTATGAGCCAAATATCCAAGATATGTTAAATGTACAAATATCATCACAAATATTATAACATTAAATTAGAACTATATAATAATCTATATCTTAGGATTTAGAGCCAAACACACAAGATATGTTAAATGATATAGTCAATCAGAAACAAATTTTTGAATTTAATATGAAATTTTCCCTTCATATTTATAATTTTCTATATTATTTTCCTATTTATAATTTTGCATATTATCTTCATATTTATAATTTTGTATATTTTTATAATAAAAATTATTATGTTATGAATTTTTATAAAATGTGATTTAAGTAGTGCTGTAAACATTTCTAAAAAAATCGAACGCGTTCGCGTTCAACGTTTATTGACAAAAATCGAACGCGTTCACGTTCAAGTTCATGTTCAAAAAAAAGGAACGCGTTCACGTTCATAAAACCGTTCAAAATTTTATGATAAATTTTTTTTAAATTTAATTTAATATAAATAAACTTATATTTTTTAATATAATACATTTTAGCCATGTTAAAAAATAATATAGTTTTATTTTGATAATATATTTATAAATAAATTATAATATAGCAAATAAAAAGATATTTTTATTTAAAAAAAATTTTTCTTATTAAATTTTAATAAGAATTGTTCTCAAAATATTTATCTGATAGACAGGAACACTTAGCAGTTAATACGGCATTAGCTATACTAAAAACGCGCTCTACGGGGGCAGATGAGGGGATTGCGGTATTATACTTAATAAACAGCTCTTTTAACGTGGAGAATTAATTAAAAACATATTGTTTTGTTATTTGAAAAAAATTGAGATAACTAATCCTCCTCCAATCCATTCTCTACTCTCGACAAAAAAAGGATATCTCGAAATTAACAGTTCTCTAGGGTTTTCATAGCATTTTTTTCAATGACGCTATAAGTTTATTTTTAATAGGTTCGTTCTGTGGAAGTTTTATCCATGGCCATTGAAGTTTGAATTCTGGATGTATAATTGCAGAAAGAACATATTGATCCTTATATATGATCAAATCTTTAAAAAAATAAAATATATGTAATTAATTGAGAGTAATAGGTTTAATACCTTTTATTAATCCCATTTAATACGGCGTCTATCAATGGTTGACCATATTTGAGGCCACTAATTTTTTTTAATTTTTAACAATCGTTATTGTTGGGGTTAAATATCCTTATTTCAAATTTAATGATTTAACTTAGTTATATCATATAGATTTAACTTATTATATCATAAAATCAAATTACTAATATTAAAATCAAATGTCGTTTTAAATTGGAACCTGAAGATTTTGACAATATAATACTTTTTGGCCACATTTTACACTTGGTAGGCATTGGATTAGTTCCTTCAATATAGGAAGTTAATGTAAAGCATTTATCATATTTGGCCATAGTAATGATAATTCAACTGATTTTGGATTTTCAGAATCAGATGATGAGGATTAAATAATAATTTCCATGCTTATGCTAATCTATTAAATTAAAATATAAACAATAATATTCAAATTAATAAACTATATGTTAAAAAAATTGAAATGTGAAAAGGAAATATACAGCCCATTAAAAAAATATAAATAATACATTTTTTTAAAAAATTCGGAAATATTAAATTTTTCAAATAAACAAAAATATTTTTAAAATTGAACGAACGTTAAATTCGAAAGCGTTCGTCATAAAAAAGGAACGCGTTCACGTTCAAAATTCGTCAAATATAAAAGGAACACCGTTCATCATATTTTTCAAAAAAACGAACTTCGTTCACGAACGCGTTCGTTTACAACACTAGATTTAAGTCATTTTAGCAGTTTAAATACAAATCAAAACAACACTTTTTATTGCACTTTTTAATATTTATAAATAAATGCTATAATTTTGACAAATTTAAACATTCATAAGATAAAGTGATGGTAATTAAAAAATAAATGTATATGAAAATTTTGGAATAAGTGTTTCATAATTAATTTGTGTACAAAATAAAATTTTGAAATAAGCAGTCAGCCTTAACAATTTGTATAGTATTAGTAATATTAGTTTCTGAGGATTGTGTTTAAATTTGGAACTCATGGAACTTATTATCTTCAAATAATATAAAATATAGAATTAGTAAATCATTCACATCAAACATTTTATATTATAAATTGAAAATAAATGTATGATTCGGGACATGTTTCGTATCTCTCAAAACTTTTGAGAAATTTTTTTTTAATATAGGACACAGCCAAAAAATATTGTAAAATGGAAATTATCAAAATTATGACTGACACTTATCAATCAAATGTGATTGACAATCTTTAAAATAATTCGAATATAATTAAAATTTTTGACAATACTAGTAATAACTTACACTTTATTTTATAAGCATAAAATTATGAGACCGAACCGGTTCAGAGGCATTTTAGCGGTTCGGTTCAGGTTCGGCTATAAATTTTTTAGCGGTTTAGGTTCGATAAAAAATACCGATTTTAGCGGTTTAATGGTTCGGTTCAGGTTCGATTTGGATCTCTGATTTAAACTATTCAGACATAATAAATAAATATTCGTTATTTTATTGAGGAGTTTTGTAAATTACAACATAGAAAGTCAAAATTATTATATAAATATTTATCACTTGTTCCTTTTTGATTGAGCTTAAATTTGAAGAAATTGTTTTGTGTATATAAGAGGATTCAATATCGTCTGCTTCAAATACTTTTTTCGGAATAATGTCTTCATTACTTTCTGAAAAATAAAATAGAGTATAAAAAATTATATAATAAATATTAAGTCATCATTCAAATATATACAACAAACGATACTTTATTTTTTTTATATCTAAAAATTTAATTTATAAAATCCATCCATAGGAAACCCATTTTTTAAAAAATGTTGAATAGAACCGTATAATAATTTAGCTAAATAGAATCGATCTTGTGATTAATTTATATATGTGGTACTGGACTAATAGCGCTGCGAACCTGATTTAAAAAATACGATCAATTCTTTTTAAATCTTTGGAAATTAGTTAATAGCACCCTTTTTTATTTCTAGTAGTGCCGTCCCGCCGCCTATGGTGGGTTAAAAAAAAATTAATGGGCTTGGGTCAATGTAATTTAAATTTAGTTTATAAGTTTAAAAAAAATTTTGCAATTTATTTTTTCTCCTAATGAAATTAAATTTCAGCATGGTAAACAAAATGATTGCATAAATCACTAAAATTGTTTACTTTTATTAAATTTTTGGATATGGGTCTGGTCCGGACTCGGGAATAATTTTTTAAACTTATTATTGACTTGGAAATTTTTTAATATTAAATATGGGCCGGGCTTAACTATAGCGATCTAGGCCAGTCTTGAGCAAAAAATTAAGGCCCATGAAGGTGTCTGATTCTATTGTTTTTTTAAATAGATCATATTTTTTTATAATTTGGAAAACTGTTCTTTCATATAGACATATAACACTGGTCAAAACTGATATTCCAAATGAATTTTGAAGCATCGTTTAATACAAATTAGCTGGTAAGACCATTTTAATTTTCCATATATAATTTTTCTAAATCTTTGAAAAAAAATATTTAAGGATTTCATATAATAATAATTATATCCATTATCGGAAACAAAAATGGTATGCCAAGCAACAGCATTTGTATTGTTATGTATTAAATAAATGATTCATCAGTCTATTTGGTAATATATATTAATCCATTCATGGCATAGGGAAAAGGAATAAAAATTAAATAATAGCATGTTAAAAATTTAATCGATTTCAGTAACTCCTTATCCTTTTCTTGAAAGTATTAAGAAAAAATCGTTAATATTTTTAAAAACAAATATAAGGTATACAAGGTTTTTGCCTAAGAATTCAATAGTCATGAAAGATAATCATGCATATTAAATTTAATAATGATCTGTTTAATTAATAAGCTTAATATCGATTTAAGATGCCATGTTATTTGTTAGATCATGTCTAAATAATTGTAGGCTCGGCATATTGATTTCAAAAACATGATGGTAACCAATTATTTACTTGCTAAATTTAATTTAATGGCAGCATATCACTGAAAATATTCTCATTGCTTATTGGTATTGCATAAAAGAAAGGCATCAATATTTTAGTAAAATATACAAATATGTTTTTAAAAGGATCCACAAATCTTAATACAATTATTATAATTTTTTTAACCAATAAAAAAAGATTGTCTGGGTTGTTGAAAAATATTTTTTTAAGCAAGGTCTGGGTTTGTAAAAAAAAATTTATAGCCCGGGGCTGGTTTGAGTCCAGGCCTGCATGTCTCTCGTATTATTATAAACAATAATATGTATGTTAATATTAGCAAAATATGGTTGGTAACATAAACCCAAGTTACAATACCAATTTATAATACCTTTTTTATCAAATCGTAAAACAAATAAAAATATCATAGTAAATATATCTATCACATATTTTTTTCAATCACAAGTTGTTCAATAAATATTTAAGGTAAAATATTTAGAGTTGCTAAATCTCATCATTTAGAAACGTATAATTTTCAGGAACCAGAACCCCATTTTGGAAAATATTAAGAACTAGAATCCTTTTTAATTCCGGTTCCATACTCTAAATAATCCTTGATGCTAATCCACACCGATATCTAGTGTTTTCAAAAGATATTGAGTCATATCTATATTTTTTAAAAACCGATCAGATATTTTTATCGTTATGGGTTATTTTATGATTGTATATATAATTATATAAAAAAATTTATTTCCTAATTCATAATAAAAAATTATGAAAGGAACTAAAATACAATGTTTTGTAATGTTTAAAAAGTTGTTAAAAAATTTTTAACTATTTTTTGTAATATTATATGCAACAAGAAAAAGATTTTAAAATATCTAACAGATTATATTCAGGATGTTATTAAACAGCTCAATTAAACTAATGTTTAAATGGTCAACTCAAGATTTCAAAAAGTAAATTACTCAAGCTTATTGATTTAGCCAACAGATAACAGAAATTAGACTTTTATTAGCAAAATTTAGAGGCTTCAATAATATTTTCACTACTTGATCTTTTCCTTTTTAAAAATTGATTAAGTTGAGTTTTTTGACACTTAACCCATAAAATTGTAAATATTTTAAATGAGATTATTAACTTGTAAAATAGAAAATGAAATTTAATCATTCATGAAAGTTTGTTAGTTTTTTTATTAAAAAATATTGATATTTTTTGGACATTGGTTCAAAGATAGATGATAAATAAAAATTAATATAAATATTGGATTAGTAACATATTTTTTTTTTAATAACATAGGAAAATATTGGATCAAAGAAAAATTTATATCCCTACTTATTATTTTCATTTTTTAAATGGTCAATGTGGTCTTACTATCATCACTGTTCCCATTCAACAGGTATGGAAGTGAATGCAATTGAATAAAATGATTTGTTATTGATTCAATCTTTTTAAAATTTAAGTTATATAGTTAGACCATACCACTTGAGAAATGTATTTTTAGTTAAAAATGGAAATTTTCCAAATTTTAAAAAAAATATAATTTCAATTTAAAGAACATTGTTAAAAATGCAATGTGAAATTTTACTTTTCAATTTATAACTAAACACTATAATCAAGTAACTATATACTTTATTTTAAATCAAACCAAACTGTTAATTTGAATAGTGACATAATATTTTAAAAAAATTCAATAAATAAATGAATATATAATAATTTTATATACTAATGTCCAAATTTTGGCTTTTGGATGGAGAAGTTTTATTGGATTTTTTGTAGGTAGAGGGGCTATCATTGAATACCCCAATAAAATTAGAATTTCTTCCTTTAATCATTTGATCATTATTAAATCCCTGGGCAAAAATTGAATCATAATTAGCCACAAATGTTTCTCTTTGCTTTTTGGGCCTTTGGAAAGTGTGATTAGATTTGGTTGTATGATGAACTGGGTTATCACTAAATAAGCTATTTTCAATCTCATTTTTCCTAAAATCATTTTAATTTAAATAAATAATATGACATGTTATTTTGGGGAAAAATTAATATAATAATGATAAACAAAGTTAATACAATATATAAGTTATTAGTGAAAGGAAAAATTTCTTTAAGACAATAATTGTTTAACAAAAATGAAATGGTAGCTATAAACTTTAAAAATAATAATACCCATCAAGATAAACGAAATATTAATCTGGTGAAACTATTCTCAATTATTGAAAAAAAATTATAAATTTATACTATCAAATAAAAAAAAATTTTTAATATACTCTTTGTTTGTTTTTCTGTTAAATGCCTGACTAAGATTTGGCGTGAAGACTTTTTTATTACGACCTAATGAAAAATCTTTAGGTATTCTTAACGTTGGCAATCTAAATAAATTTTATGGTTATCATATAACCCAAAAAATGTTCACCTTTGCGTCTTATTTAGAGGAAGACCTGACTTGTCTAACAATAATCTTTTTATATTCAAAACATTATCACTTTCGTTTGACATTTTTTGAAAAAACGAGCCCGTACAAATTAACATGTGTTATACAATGTCAAGTGGGTGTAATTAGTCAAGATGCAAAAACACTTAAATTTCGTTATTAGTTCTAACTTCTAATCAATGGTTCTAATTTTAAAAAAAGGCAGATCCATATCAAAAAAACACTGAATTACTATAAGATGAAAAAATAACTATTATTTGTTTAGTAAACGGGAATGTAATACATATTCCATGTATATTCGATCTCTCAAAAGAGGATTAATATTAGAAGCCTTATTGAGTAATCTAGTCTAGAGTATCAATATAGTTTTTCTTGTTGATTGATCTCACTTAGTCTATCAATATTGTTTCTCATGGTGATTGATCTCACCTAGAGTATCACTATCAATATTGTTTCCCTTGTTGATTGATTTCACCTAGAGTATGAATATGATTTTCCTTGTTGATCGATCTCCCACCCGAGTATCAACATTGACAGATATCCCACCGGAGTTTCGTTATGGAGATAATTATAAGCAGTGGAGTCGCTAGGGGGAGGGGACCGCAGGGGCTCGAGCCCCCTGAAAAATTTTAATAGCCCCAGAAGCGAAAAAAAATTTTAATGGCTCCTTAATATCTTCTTGAACTAAAAATAAATATTTTTGATTGCACCTGAACGATTTCTTTTATAATTCTATTAAGTAATATATAGATTTAATTTTTTTATTTAAAAATTAATAACTATATAAATTTTTATTAAATGAATACTATTTTAATTCTAAGATTAGATTAATACATATAAATTATATTTTCACTATGTCAGTTTGCGATCAAATTCTGTGTTAAAAAATATATTAATGTCACTCACTAAATATTAATTTATACAGTTGAATTTCAATTGACTTTTATTATTTAAATTATTATATAACCATAATCAGAGTTGGGCAGTACCGCGAATACTTGTATCTAAGATACAAGATCCTTTTGTATCTTGTACTCAGTATCTTATTGACATTTTTAATAAGATACTAGTATCTGTATCTAAGATCCTTTATTTTGAAAAGAATCTTGTATCTTTTTCATTTTCTTTAAAACGATACAGATACAGATTCTTTTTAATATTCATATTTAAAACATTTACATATCATATCACACAATCTAACTTTATTTTCTTCGTGAAATCTTGTATTATTTTCTTTATTTTTTCCTGCTATATTTTAAATATATTGATAACCAAGATTAGTTGGAAATTTTACAGATCACAAAGATAGATAGATTAAAAATAACAACGCCAAAACTAAATAAGTAAAGGTTATATTTTATATGTAATATTTTTTAATTTGTAGAATGTTTAACATTTATAGTAGTGAAAATGAAATTATGGAGATAGGTTCTCCTGAATCAAATCTGAATCTTAAAATTCTAGATGGAAAATTTTATAAAGTAATTCATGTGAAAAAGGACAAGGTACAAGCCGAATGTCAAAATTGCACAAGTAAAAAAGTTATTAAAGGTTGAACAAACTCCTCTACAAACTTTGTTAAACATATTAAAGTATATTATACATTTTTATTTTATAATTATTAACATAATAATACCTATACTTAAGTCCCTCTTAGATAATTGTTATTAAAAATTTTAATAGAAGATGGTTGATTATCAAATTAAAATTTATATATATAATTTTTAGAGGTGTATCGATACCACTTTTTGGAGGTCGATTCGATCCGATATCATATATTATTTTGTATTCTGTAAAGATACCAATGGTTTTAATTTTTAATATACTTTTTATTAGTATAACATCTATAATTTAATTATACCATAACTTATGATCAGTTATAGTTTATATTCAATTCAATTGCAATTCTAAAAGTATATAAAATATTTTTATTGTTAAATCACTTTTATATAACAAGTAATAACAATAATCTATATACATATTAATTAATAAACAATTATATTATGAAATTTGAAATTTGAAATAAATATTTAAAATAATATTTAACATTAATATAGCGAAGATTTCTTTTTAGTAATACCAATATTTCCAATTTATCAGAGGTCAGCTTGCGGCTATAGTAACTGTCAATATCACCAGCTTCACTAAAAACAGATTCTGAAGAGATCATCGCACACTTTTATAAACAGAATGCGCAAAAAAATAACAATATGGTAGAATGTTTATTAATTAAATATTATTATTAAAAAAATATACATAAAAATGGATTTCGATTTTATTTATAAAAATAAATGATTTATATAACTATTTTTTTAAATTTTATAACATTTTATTTTTGTTAAAGAAGCCATTTTTATGTCGGATCAAATTTTATAATATTGACCGATAATTAATATTTTAAAATGGGTGAAATATCGGTTCGATAAAAAATATCGGCACATCCCTAATATATTTTATATTTAATTATTTTAGCAAGTTCTTATTAGAGGAAATATTTAAGCTACAATTGATATATAATATTAGATAATTTTAAAAGGCTCTTAATAAAATAATTATAACTAGTAGATAGCCCGTCAAAAATGACGGAGAATGAAAATTTTATTCGTTTTTTTAAGAAAGATGTTACCTTTTATTTAAAAATCATATCCAATTTATATAATTTTTAAACCCCCCCCTCCCCATTTAGGTCAAGTCCAAGCAATGTCATTGAGTCCAACTCATTAGGAATAAGAGTGGAAACTATTATTTGAGTCAAAATCTATTTAAATGAGCTTGTACCCAATACCAAAATTCTTTGTAAATATATTACTGGTTACATAAGTATAAAATTCGTCTTAATTCTCCTATATTGAAATACTATAAAATTTCTATATTATATACTTTTCTATTTTTTTTTTAAAACAATCAAACAACTTTTACTTTTTATTTCTTTTTTCTTCAATCAATAACATATATCGAAAAAATTTTATAATAAAAAAACATCATCGTTTGTTTTTCTTTCCACGCTTATATATTTGTTTTTTACCAATTCATCCTTTATTTATTATTATTTATTTTTTTCCTTTTACACGTCAATTATCTTTTTTCTTTGTTTAATATTGTTTATTCACGTATTTTTTTATATTATTTATTCACGTATATTACGCTATTATCTTCCTCTCGTACTAAGTTTAATGCTTGTTCCCTTAACACGCCCTCTTCAACAAGGATGATCCTACGCCCCCTCCTCCCAGAGGTTACCCCATTCCGCCTCCTCTACCATCACATCCAACCATTCTCCAAGCTCCTCAGCATCGTCCAATACGGCCACTAAATCCCTCCATTCTTCGGTTCCCATCACTTCTTGACCCGTTCCTGTACGCTCGGCTGCCTCTGCTGCCGGATTATCCTCTCCTTCCGTTATACCGCTTCCCTCTGTCCCCTCGTTTGCGCCTTCCATTGTCAAATCAACGATGGGCCATTCCACGCTAACGGTTGGCCGCTGTTCACGCTGCTCCTCTTCCTTTCTCCTTGTTCCCACAATTTCTGCGACCAGCCTTGATTCACTTCGTCTCATCGTTTCCCGGACTTCGGCGCCCTGTCCGTATTCCTCGCTCGTTCCTTGCTCTTGCTCCGCGCTTTGCCCCAAAACGACTGCTATCTGCCGCGTAGGCACTTCCTCTACTGCTGGGAGCACCGTCCGCCATTCTCTATTTCCCCCCGTCCTCTGCCAATTCCAAGGGCAGCTATATTGAATATGCCCTCGCTCTTGACACCAATAGCACCGTCTATCATCCCGCATTCGTCTCATTGTACTGCGCCCGCTTCTCCATCTATTCCCCCTACTCCCTCGCCCTGTTCCTCGGGATCGCATCCTGAATACTATTTCATAGTCCCCGTAAATCGAGCTTCTGGACAAACTCCGAGCGTGATTAGGATTCATTTGATTATTCACCTAAACATATTCTATATTATATACTTTTCTAAAATACATACTCCTTACGGAATTCCCCACATCAAAGTAATCACTAATTTTATTTAATTTACACACAAAAAAAATTATAATAAATTTTTTCCTTTTCAAAAAAAAATTTCTAAAAAAATTTTCTCCCTCCCAAAATTTTTCCGCCGGCGACAACTCCTCCCCTTTTCGACTATTATTATAATAGGCTACGGCCATCCATAGTTCCCCCCTGCCATGTTTCGACTTTCTTAACCAACTTTTAACCAGAGCTACCATTCTTTCCGCCTGTCCGTTTGAGCTTGGATGATACGGAGGTGCTAAGACATGTTTTACCCCGGTTTCCGTGCAAAATTTTTCAAATTGTCTACTCACAAAAGCGGGACCGCCGTCGGACACGATTGTCCTTGCTACTCCAAAACGAGCCCATAAATTCTTTAAAGTCTTTATTACAATTTGCGTAGTTAGCCCCCTTACTGCCTCGTACTCTACCCATTTGGAGTATGCATCTACCACAATTAAATAGATTTGCCCCTCGAAGTCAAAGAAGTCGATGTGGATACGTTCCCACGGCTGTGTAGTCTTGGGCCATACACTTTTCTTGTCTCTGTGAGGCATACTCGCCCAGAGGTTACACATTTCACAGCTTCGGCTTATGTCCTCAATCTCTTTGTTCATTCCTGGCCACCATACATATTCTCGGCCCCATTGCTTCATTTTCTCGACTCCCTGATGCCCTGCATGAATCATTGCCAAGACCGAATCTCTCAATTTAAATGGTACTATACCCCTACTTCCCCGTACCACACAGTCATCCACTATAGCTAATTCCTTTTCGATGTATTTAAAAACTTTATCTCCGTCGCTCCAAGGTTTTCGCCCCTTTATACACGCCTTAATTCGAGTCAATTCACGATCCTTTAGAGTTGCCCTTTTAAGTTCTGCCCAAGTTATCGGTCCTCCCTTGGCTATTTTGACCATTGCTCGAATTAGTCCTTGCTCCTTTCCCTCCTCTATATCCTCTTGAGCCATTTCATATCCTTCTTCTCCAGCTCCACACCTAGAAAGAATATCTGGTAAACAGTTTTCCTTTCCCCGTCGATACTTCAATTGTACATCAAAACTTCCCACAAGTAAGAGCCA